GGTCTTAGGCGACCCCTGTGAAAGGGTCGTTCGACCCCCAAAGGGGTCGCGACCCACAGGTTGAGAACCGCTGGTTTAAGGGGTTGGGAAGAAGAATCTGGATCAGCTCTGAGACTCAACACAGCCGACGCACAAAGAGAGAGAGCTCTTGGGACTTGAGGATTTTTCCTGGAAAGGACTTATCACTTTCTTTTGATAAAACCTGGGACAGAATCATTTTCACATGGTATCCTGGACAACAATATGGGGCTGAATGCCAATGACCAGGAAGTGGATCAAGTCAATACCCAAATGAAAACATCACGAAGTCATGACCCTTGAACAATCTCCCCACAGATATAGATTGGAGATAGAAAGATGAGATGGATACGGGAAGTTATGGGACTATTACTCATCAAGGAATTGCATTTCTGCAATCTAGTCTAGAGATTTCAAGGCAAGGCAGTGTTTAACATATTTGGATCTTCAATCAAATAATTGAGAGAGAACTGTAACACAGAAACTGAACATTGTGGGATATGTTACTGAGAGGCCAAAAGGAATAATTTTTTACCCCTTTTCCAAGCAAATCAGAGTTTCAATGAGCTTCCATTGTTGCAATAGCTCTCTTTCTCTCTCTTTCTCTCTCTCTCTCCAATAGCTCTTGAGAGTTCAGAATATTTCACTATGGTGATCTTTGTGCAGATTTTTTTTTTTAATATTTGAGGTAGTTACCCAGTGTAAATATTGTCGAGTTACTGGAATCTTGAATCTGCAGGGAGAGGTTTAAGATTCTGTACTCTGATCCTCCATTTCTTCCGAACTCTGAGACCCAGCTTCCTGTTTTGTGCATTTAGGTCCAAGGGCTTGCATTTAGGTCCAAGGGTTTGAAGAAGGTCTTCTAGCTGCTATCTGGGGGTGAATATTCAAATACAGTAAAAAACAAGGAATTCTTGTGAAAGAAAAATGGAACTAGGAACATATGACTACATGAGGAACAAAACGAAGGAATGTAGGTTCAGATATCATGGGGATCATGGGGACCTGCTAATGGGTGAAGAGCTGTATACATTTCACCAGCAGAGAAATAAGGTGTTAGGATGTGCAGGACTTTCCCTCTCTGTAAGCTTTTCTTCCTTATTAAATGCTTTTATTGATTTCAGAGATGAAGGAAGAGAGAGAGAGAAACATCAATGATGAGAGAGAATCATTGATCGACTGCCTCCTGCATGCACCACACTGGGGATTCTGTCCAGCAACCTGGGCATGTGCCCTCACCGGAAATTGACCCGAGATTTCCTGGTTCATAGGTTCATGCTTAATCACGGAGCCACCTGGCCAGGCAGCCCTCTGTAAGCTTTTTATTCACCCCATATCACGCCACCACCCATGTTTCTCTGTGTCCATTGTAGGTTGATCAGAGAAAGAATGTGAAGATTTTTGCTGTCTTCAAGAAGAAACCAATGCTGATTAAGATGTTAACAGTTTAAATGATGCATTAGAGAAGCAGGAGTGGGTGTGATCAGCATAAAATGGTTAAATTGTGAAACCAGGCTAGGTGGGGTGTAATGCAGCAAACATGTTGCCCATACAGTGCAGAGGCCTTTGCTCTGTGCTTGTCCTCTGAAACGTTAATTAAGCCTGAGCTCTCAGCACAGCACCCCTGATACAGCCTTGAACTTTGGATTCCCAGGACCCGCCCACCCTCTTCTGGGTCGCCAGCCCCTTCAAAAAGCTGGCGGGGAGGGGCGCAAGGCCCTGACCCTGACGGTGGTGGGTTGTAGGGGCACAAGTCAGGGCCCATCAGTCTCACACATAAGGAGCAAACTGACTGCTTGGTTTCCCTTCCCAGCACCCTTCTGCAGGAGGACGCGGGTAATCTGCGCGGAAGCGGAGCGTGGGTGTAGAGGTTGAGGGCCAGACCGGGAGAGGAGAGCGCCAGGTGGGCAGGGCCTTACAAGCTGCGTGCGCACACTCCCTGCCTCCTCCAAGCATCTGAACTCACGTGCGCCCTCCTCTCCTTGTGCACATACACAGGAACTCAACCAAACATGCCCGTGGGCACATCCCTGCCTGCCTTTCTCAAGTACACATACACTCCTGCGTGCACACAACCTGCACGTGTTCACACACCCAGTCTCCCTGCCTCCTCCAAGTGCGCACACCTGCAGGTGGGCACACCGGTCCCCCTCCTCCATGTATGCACATAAACACCCGTGGCCACAAAATCAACCCTTTTTCTGCCCGTGTGCACACACTCCAGCAAGTACACCATGTGCACCGGCACACAACTGGCCCCTTTCCTCTCTGTGCGCTTACACATGCGCACAGCCTCCCACTCGCATCCATGTGTGCATACTCATAGGTGCACACACACCCGTGTGCATACACTCTCATCCGTTTCCCATGTGCGCACAAGTGTACACACACGCTGCCCCCTGTGCGCACAAATGCACACGCAACCTGGGCCCCTGTCCTCCGAGTGCGCACAGGTGCACGCATCCCCGGCCCCTGTCCTCCGTGTGCGCACACGTGCACACAGCACTGGCTCCTCTCCCCCGCGCGCGCAACGCCGCAGCCCGGCGCCAGTCCCTGGGTCTCCATCCCCGCTCGGCGCGCGCACACACAC